TTGCATGGACATTCTACTCAAACCCGGAACAATTACGAGGGACTGGCTTCCAAAAATTCACGAAGGACTGGTCCAAAATTTCGGTTGAGGCACAATAATTTAGATGGAACAGGAAGCACAATAATTTAATTAGGATAGACTGGTCCCAGAATTCCTTGGAAATACAATATTTAGGATGGACTGGTCCCAAAATTATACGAAACAAGGAAAGAATAGTCACATTCGTGGGTCGGTGATGTTAGCGTCAATTTGAGGAACATAGGGCACGGACTGGAATGATGTACCTCATTTTTTGTAGATCAACATTGGCACCCAATAATGTAGCATGACCATCCAAATAATGAAAAAAGTGAAGTGGATGATTTCGTGTTTTAGTGAATATTTATCGTGTAATTAATATCCTTTTATTGCACTTATCTCACATTAATCTTGGAATAGGTTGTACCTATTCCAATATGTGATTAATGTTCATTTCTTGTATACAAATATAACTCTAATGAAGAAATATTTATAAACACTTTCCAAAACTCTTCCATTTAGCGATAAGAATTCTAAGTTATACTTCTACAAGTGACTAGACATGAGATAACTCCTATTTCATAAGAGTTGTTAAATCCTTATAGGTTATTCATCATCTTTCCATACTTTATGTATATATCAATTTGCTAATGTTGTGAGCATTACCTGTTACAGGAGCAATCATATAACAAATAAAGTATAACTGTCCGTACTTAAGATATTGTGATAACTTTAAATCTAAAGATCACTTACACAAATGTCACTTAGAGATTAATTTTTTTTGCACTTAAAGGATGTCTCTATGCGGATCAATTTAGTGAACTTAATCATCCTATCAAGCACACATATACTAATTTAGATGTCTCACACATCACAGTAGACGAGGTCTACTACTTCTCATATAGAAGCAGCATAGTATATGTTAGTCTAACTCTATTAACAATGCCCTTTTTTGTTATTACTTTAATTAGAGATATTTAAGAGTAAACCTTATCTATAACCTAATGAATCTTACCATCATAATTTTAGGAAAAAAATAAAAAAAAAAACTTGATGACAAAGCAATGAGCTAGCGTGACATTTAATAAGTAGATGGGTTACATCAACTAAAAGTAACCCCTATCTCCAATAGAACATTTATACGTACTGAATAAGGAAGAAGTGGTACTGATCACGATACCTGTCTATGAACCCTTAGTTAGGTTTGTGATGGATTGAAAATTTTTAAATGACAGATCATGTTACTACTGTATTTATCACCAATTTTAAGTCCTAAAAGCGTGTCCAAGACACTATTCAATTTTTATTATTTCTTTATGATAATATCTAAAAATTGACTGAAAATTTGACTTTGCGGATGTTAAATTTTGTATGGTTTGATTAAAAAAGAGAAAGAGGAGAAAATAAAAATAAAATAAAAACAACTTACTTAAAAGAGGGATAATTTTGGTTATCTCCCCTGTGGTTATTGATAATTCACTTGTAGCCCTTAAGGTTTGAATTTTATATGCCTCTCCTATTTTGAGCTCTAATGTAATAAAAAGCATATAATGTAGTTCTAGTTGCATGTCAAGAGATCAAATCTCTGCACCTGTAATTAAATTAATCAAAAGGTGTACAATAGTTCATCCTTTTGTCTAGAGATGGGTGTTTTTCCTTCTAACACTTCGTGACCTAGTCAGACCTCTGTTTGAATATTAGAGTGAGAGAAGTGTATCAATATTGTTGATTAACCGAAAAAAAAAAACCACAAGTATATACACTTTCTTTAGGACAGTTTTGTTTTAAAACAAGTATATTGCATATATTGGTGATCTCTCTCAACAAGGAGCAAGGTTCCTTCACTGTGGGAGACTACAACACCCATATTTTTTTTATTGTTATATTCAACTTTTATTTTTTGCTCGTTAATTAATTGGTAATTTTCTATGGGAAAAAAGTAAAAAAATTGGTAGAGAATGTTAAAAGGTAATTGGGAGTTATGGAGGAGATAAAATAGGAAAAGCTAAAATCCTCAACCCCCGTAACCACCATGTAGTGGATGGTTATTAGGAATTTAAAACACTTATCAAAACAATTAAAAGAAATAACATCGTTCCTAACTCTCATGATCTGCCTTCCCTTGGAACAATAACCATTTGAAAATAGAGAAGAAGAAGAAGAAAACATCGCCGTCGATAAGCAAGCAACTAAGCATCTAGACCTGTAACTTCTGAACACACGTTAAAACTTTTTCTTTTAAATCTTATTAATTTCATGAATTATTTTAAAGATTTTATGTATACATATATATTATGATATGTATATGCCTGTATGAGAAATTTAGGAAGATTCTTGTTCAGATTAGTAGCAATAGTGTGTTAAATTTTAATTATGGGATGAAATAGAGTCTAAACCCATTTCTACGAAGAGTTTTTTAAAAAAAAAGAAGAAGAAGAGTTGCATCGTTGTTGAAGCTTCTTCAGCAATACAAGAAGGAAAAAAAAAGAGAGCAAGACCCTTCTCTCATACCAAGTCAGGCATGAAGGCCAGCCAAAGGAAAAAAAATTCCTGTTAAGGAAAAAAATGGGGAAGAAGATGACCCGCTAATTGATGGGTTAATGAACCGGGTTGGTCTTGTGGGTCGGATCTGGAAGGAAATGGTTTGGGTCAAGATGTAGGTGGGTATGTGTGGGCTTGCTGAGTTGGATGCTGGGCCAAGTGTGAAGGGGAATCGAACTAGGACTAGGAGAAATAAGGAAATGCTTGGGCATATGGAACTTGGGCCATTATTATTCAAATCCGAAAAAAAAGGTGGCACTATACTTGGACCAAAAGTATAGTGGATTTAGTGAATGTTCAATAGATAAAATTTAGATATAACCAACCCATCTTTTATGGATTATCATGGGTATTAAACTTCAAAAACTAATATAAAATAATTTTGGGCTTTCAAGATTTAGTTATTCAGGCTTATGCTTAATTAATTCATATAAGATATTTAAGTAGAAGTCTAAGACATTTTAATCTAACATTATTAGATTAATTTATACAATATAAGATAAGTTTTAGATTTTTAAACAAATGCTTAAAATGATGATGATGATGATGATGATATAAATATGGATGAAATAAATTAAGGATATAAACGAAAATAAAAATATAAATACAAGTGGAATAGGCTAAGATAATAATTGTAATGGTAAATAAATATACATTCGTATACATGAATAACAATAATACATATACATGTGCAAAAAGGGAAATAGAACAAAAGATAATAATAACTAATTAACCAATATATACATGTATATATATGAATGAAAATAAAATAAAATAGTATTGATAAAGACAATAACAATAATAAGAAATAAAATAATAAAAAATATATATAATAAATAATAGTCAAGATAATAAATATGATTATAAACAATTATTTATGAGTTAGGAAACTTTACATAAGAAAAAAGGAGCTTTCCAAATTAAGAAACTTTCCAAGAATAGAAACTTTCCAATTTAGGAAACTTTTCAAAAACAGAAACTTTCCAATTTAGGAAACTCTTCTAGACTTCAGATAATGATCTAGACATGAATCTTAGAGTTGTTTAGAGTTTTGTACATTTATATATCTATAAGAAATATCAACTAATTAGGATATCTATAAATTTGATAGGTACGACACAAGTTTAAAAGACCTAAGATAGTCCCACTCGAGCAACCAGACACTCTTCTGGGATTTCAAAAAATCAAAGCGAAATTTTTATTACTAATCTTCTTTGATGTGTCAATTTGAAATTTACTTGAGTATTTATGCAAGTTCTATTTTTACTATATAAAGATGCATCATGTGAATTATTTGAAGTATTTTGATATGTTATTATATACAAAATGAGTGGTATATTTTGTGAAATCAAAGACTATGTATCTGACGTGTGAAATGAATTTATGTTAAGCAAAGATCAAAACAATCATGGAATAGACGGTAGGGGTTATAGTCTTATCTAAAGGTTACGGTAATCTGGTATAGAGTCTGGCCGATTGATAAGGTCATGGTAGTTCGGTATGGAACCCGACCGATTGATGTATATATATAATGAGACCAATCGGTAGTCATGAGATCTATTGGTCGCTCACCTAGAAGGGTTTAATATCTAGATTGAGTATTCAGAAGTCGGTCATTGCATATACTTATTATGAGTTGGTATGAAATGATTTATGACTCTATGGTTTTCATGTACGGTTATGAATAAAATGTTTACAAATTGTTGTGTCACTCATTATTACTGACTGTTTTACGGATAACGTTATTGTCAATAATTATACATGTGAATGGTGTGCAAATAATTTGATATATATATATGTATGTATGTATGTATGTATGTATGTATGTAAGTATGTATGTATATGTAAAGGTATGATTGCATGGTCCAACAGAGGGGTAGGAGCTACCTATTGAACGATTTATCAGTCATCCCAATTTTTTATACTTTTGCATATTGTGAAGAGTATGAGTTGGTTTACATCAAAGACTTGAGAATGATTTTTAGTAGGTCTAAGTGGATAGAAATTAGCAGTCTAACTGCTTTTGGCTGTTATTTTATTTAATTTCTTTTTCGTTGTCTCATCTAGAAAATAAGTGTACGAATTTATTGGATACTCGTAGACTACCTTCCATTTAAGATTTGTACCGCATTATATTTAGTTATACTATTTAGTACTTTTTAAGTTTTAGTCTAATTTACTATTATCTTGTATTCTTAAATGGAATTTAGGATACGGCAAATATTGCGTGACTGGCACATGCGGACTAGGGGCGTGACTGAGACGGCAGCGTATGTGATAACGAAACAATAAAACGAATGCTCACTCTTGTGTGGCAGCGTAACAGTATGTAAACGTATTAGAACAAATCACACGTGGCGGCTACTGATAACTATCTAATTGCAAAGATTTCTCTCCTTCACTTTTCCATGTAGAAAAATCTAAGTCAACTAATGGCTGCTACTGATAACTCTTTACTTGCAGAGCTTTCTTTCCTTCATTTCCCATGTGGAAAAATTTAGGCTGGTGATCCAAAAATTTTGCTGTTATAAGTACATCCCGTCCCGCTCGAATCTCTACAATAAGCAGCAAGTTGCAAGCCCAATCCACTTTTCAGCAAAGCTAAAACTACTAAAAGTCTCGGATCAAGGGCAGCAGAGATGGCTTGTGAAATTGGAAACAGGACCGTCCTAAAATTCGACACTGAGGATGGTGTCGCAGTGGCCCTGGCCAGATACATTGCCGATCTCTCCGAAAGATTCATCAAAGAAAAAGGTTCTTTCAATGTGGTCCTCTCAGGAGGCAGCCTCATCGATACTATGAGGTAAATCAACAGTACAAAAGAATCATTTATATCTGTCAAAGCATGCAAGCAAGAAATTAATGTTACCTTCTTTCGTGTTCGTGTTTAATAGAGTACAGTTTTTACATATTGATTGCCTGATTAATTTTAATATCAATACACAGGTATCTAGCCCGGGCCCCTTACAAGGAATCAGTGGATTGGCCAAAAAGGAGCATATTTTGGTTGGATGAGAGGGTGGTTCCTCTGGACAGCAAGGATAGCAATTACAGACTTGCCTGGGATGGACTTCTTAAATACGTAACATCTTATTAAATTTCCTCCGCAATATACATGCATAGTAATTTTGAAAAGCAAGTTAATTATTCATTATTTTTGCATAGGATACCGAAAAATCTAATTTTTTTTTATCTAGTATAAAATGGTATAGAAGAACCTTTTTCTTTTAAATTTTTTTTTTCAGTAGAAGAGAAATGGAACTTAAGAAACGAGGGGCAGAGGAATTTGAATTCAGAATTTCTAATTCCTTAATTTGCAACTGATACTAAATAATATCAAATGTTAAGGTAGTTATGTTTACCATCAATCTTAGTAGTATCACAAGCATGGTAAATTTGAATGTTACAAATATGTACATAAAACTTTATATCAGACTCTACAAATGTTACAAATATGTACACAAATATGTACGTAAAACTTGTAGCAGACAAACTTGGCAAAAACTCAAGTGCCAAATAGGGCCCAAGTTATATTTACCTATTGAGTTGATGCGTATGAATAAAATTTACGCATATAACAAAATTATATAATTGTACACTGAATTATGTAAGAACAATAACTATATATCCGCATGAAAATTCTGACCTTATCTACATCTGGTTTGTTTACTTGTTAGTGTGTGCATGAGAGAGACACCAACATGAAAGCAACCATTATGAGCCTCTTTGACGCTTTCTAACCTTATCTACATCTGGAGAATGATTTTTGCAGCTGCAAATGACTGGTCTGTTTACTTTAAATTTTGACAAAATAGAAGTATTAATCATGAAAAGTTACAAGTGCGTTATATATTTAGTCAATAAGTACAATTTTTTTTAAGAATAAGGAAAACTACGCGACACCAAAAATATTCGATTTTGAATTTTACTAACTAGAACTAGTAGTGACAATTAAAAGACTGAGCAATATATTCTCTAATCAATGATCGATGGGTATTCGATTTTTATCTTAGTGATTTAAGGATTAAGCAACCATAGAAAGATAGGATTTCATGGAAAGAGAGTTCAAGAAGAGTGAGAGTGTAGTATGATAATCTGATGTTGGGATTGTGAGGGTTGAAGTGATAAAGTGTCTGTCTATATTGTTTCCCGTCTAAAGGCTAAAATGGTAAGTACATATTTCTATTTTTATGTCTTTAAAATTTGATGGAAATCAATAAGGGTTGTTCTGACTTTTGGCTATTTCCGTTCCATATAACTGACAAACTTAACGTGGGAGAGTAATTTGTTATTTGTCCAAATCTCAGGGATCGATTCGTTATTTGATCAAATCTCAAGGGAGGTAAATGTAATTAACCTTTTTTTTAAGAGTAAGGAAAACTATGCGACACCAAAAAATATTCTATTTTGAATTTTACTAACTAGAACTAGTAGTGACAATTAAAAGACCAAGCAATATTCTCTAATCAATGATCGATGGGTATTCGATTTTTACGAGGTACTTGATCTGTTTAATTAGGGAGCAACGGGGGATAAAACAAACGTTGGGAATACAAATTGCATTTCTTTGTTCAAAAGTTATCACGTGTGCCTAAGCCTCCAAACGTGATAATATCAATGTTTCCAAGAGCTACGGTTAAGAATTGTATTAAGTAACAATGAAAAGACACCTAAACTTTAATTATCCTTGGAAAACATCCAATTTTCAATACTAAATTCTACCTACATTGACCAAGTTATTAAAAGGGTTAATTTCACTTTGTTCCCCCAAACTTTGGACCATTACTTACTTCAATTCTTAAACTTCAAAATGGGACACTTAAGTCCCTAAACTTATAAATACCTCTCACTTAAGTCCCTAAACTTATAAAATAGGACACTTAAATCTCTAAACCTTTATAAAATGGGACACTTCGACCACCAACGACATTCCAGATTTGTTAATAATTTTCCTTAAGTGGGAGATATTTATAAGTTTAGAGACTTAAGTGTCCATTTTGAAGTTTAGGGATTACGGTGGATAATCGTCCAAAGTTTGAGGGGACAAAGTGGTATTAACCCTTATTAAAATACAGCTTAGTTGGTAGGTAAGACGTTCCTCCTATAATAAAAAACTTTCAAGTTATCAAAAGGTATAAACTCTTTTTTGTCAAAAATAATAAATAAATAAATAAATAAAAATTAGTACTAAGTTCAGTACAAAGATGAAGTTCTTCATTGATCCACAAACTTAAAATGTTTAATCTAACAGTAACTTCCAAAGACCAGATTAAATGACCAAAATAAAGATTCAAGGCCATGTACCAAATAAAGGCCAATATAGATAACAATCGACTTTATTAAAGGATGACCCAAATCAAACGTACATTGTACCGCAACGGATCTTCTGTCTCACATCCTGTGTCATTCTCTGTACCACTTTTTACTATATTGCTATTTCTCCTTTATAAATATCATGTTTTAGTTCTTTTTTGTTTTCTTAAGATTCAATAACTATTAATTCAGTAAAAAATAAATACAACAGTTTCAAAAAATATATAATAGAAAATTAAAAAATACAGCAGAAAATTTAGAAAAATCTCATTTTTTATGCATTTTGATTTTTTGAGTTTGTTAAATTTTGTGTATTACTGAATTAATAGTTATTGGATCTTAAGGAAACAAAAAAGAACTAAATTAAAACATGATATTTATGAAGGAGAAATAGCAATATAGTAAAAAGTGGCACAGAGAGTGGCATAAGGTGTGGGACAGAAGATCCGTTGTGACATTGTACTGTGAAAGACAAGTACAAGCAAAAGAGTAAAGTGAACAACATCAAGAAAAATACATATCGGCGCTTAATACATGACACTCAAGTCCAAATTATTGAAGGCGCCCCACAAATCCCTTGGTTCCACAAGAGATGAAATCAAGTGATAATTATGGAGAAACTAGACACACTGTTTGATGGCACTGTAGTCGACATGTTCACAACTCGTCTTGCGACAAAGTCGGGTTTGACACTGCCTATCAATATAGCATCGGGAAGGGCAAATTCCTCCAGCATCAGTTAAAGTTGACTCCAGAGTTGTTATCAATTGTTCAGCTATAGCTTCTGCTTCAGCTTCAGCTTCAGCCTCAGCTGGTTGGACTCTTGAGGCTTCCACCTTTGCTATTGGCCCCCCTGTGACCACTGCAAATGAATTTTGCAAGTTCAGCTCAACAGTTTATAGTTTAAAACTACACCAATCATATTGGTTAACTCGTCAAATAGTTTATGGGTTGTTCGTTTTTCATTGCATCTCAAGTTATTTCGAATGCTTAATGTCCCTGTAGATCATGAGCAGTTTCTATGTCTTCACACTAAAATTTTAAAATTTTGATAAGATTTAGCAATTTAAGATTAAACAAGATTAAACTTAATAATGATCATTAGGCCTCAATAGTTACTGAAGTCCCATGTCAACGTGTCTGTGCTTGTTTTAGCGTGTTTGTGTGCCATGGGTGAACCAGAAGTTGAGATATGCAAAAAGCTCGGTGAGGAAGTCTAACATCTACGTACATAATTGAATATAATTGAGAACTTTTAGAATTTCAGTGGAACATAAAATGATTTCTAAAATTTTAGGAGAGGCAAATTCTGCATTTTACAAATATATATATGTAAGAAACCTTAACTTTTATGGGATGTGGAAGCATTTTTCTTTAATTTGTGTGTGCATGCATGAGGGAAAGACTTACATGAAGCAATCACAAAGAAAGCAAATAGTATCAGCTTTTTTGATGCTTTCTCCATTTCTTCTCAATGCTGAATTTTAGAGCTACAAATGACTGGCTAGAGATCTCCTAGGCAAGTCTGATGGTTCCAGTCTCAGTTCACAGAGCGGTATATATAGGGCAGAAAAGTGTGTACGCTTCCTTTCTGCACTTTCAATAATTATAAATTCGTAGTTGATGCTTCGCAGTATATATCAACCATTCTGAACAAGAAACAAGTGGTACTAATTAAGACGAAAACCTCTGCGTCAATCCTAGTCAGGTTTTGTGATGGTTTCAAAATTTTTGACTATGAGTAAATACGTACTCTACCACACTTTTCTGTGAGTAAATATATCGGAATAATGTAGTTCCAATGGTTTGGTTTCCATGCACACAAGAATATAAGTAGATGAGCTACATCAACTAAGATTAGGTCTTAATAGTTATTGAAGTCTTCACACAAAATTTTCAAAAGTAAGGAGTTGTTATGAGTAAAATTTGATAAGATTTAGCAATTTAAGATTAAATAAAATCAAGCCTAATAATGATGTTTAGGTCTCAATAGTTATTGAACACCCAAGTCAACATGTCCGTGCCTCTTTAATGTGTTTGTGGGCATTGGTGAAACCAGAATTTGAGATTTGCTGGGTAAGACAGGTAAAAATAGTAGAATTAAGGGGGCACTCTTAAAAAAAATTTGCAGACTAATTCACGAACGACAAATACTACTTTTGTTATAGATTTTTACATGCAAGATTAAAAAACCATCAATAGAAATTTGCAACAGTTGATGGATTTAACAAAGAAAAAGGTTCTTTCACTGTGGTCCCCTCATGAGGTACCCTTATCGATACTATATATATGTGGTATACAATCAACAATATGGAAGAGTCATTGAAAATCTAGCAAAGCATGCAAGCAAGAAATTAATGTTGTCACCTACCCAAAAAAAAAAAGAAATTAATGTTGTCATTTTATGTGTTCAATGCTGTACGGCATGATGGTTCGGTTTTTATTAGAGATGTAATCGAACCGAACTCCTCGTGAACTTGCGAGTAGCTCGTTGCCAGCTCGCGAGAAGCTCGGTCAAAAGCTGGACTCGCACTCGAGTACGAGTAGTTTGATAATTATTCAAGTCGAGTTCGAGTATTATTTTTTCAAACTCGGTGACTCGTCGAGTCTTATCGAATACAAAGTAATCAATTAAAAATTATATATTTAGTTATTATAATTTTACTCTTTTAGGCTTCGGAGTTATATAAATTTTGAAAATTTCTCTTTTAGTCGAGTCAAGTACTCAAGGTTTATCACATTCACAAGAAAATTGAGCATAATCGAGTCGATCTCGAGTTTTTCGAACTATTTTTTGAGTTCGAATTCAAACTCCATTTTTGCTGCTCACTCGAACTTGAGCAATACCTCTCTATTGTTGAGTCAAGCTTGAGTATAGCGAGACTCGTTCTTGACTCGATTCGATTTTTCTCTAGTTTTTATGCATTGATTGCCTGATTAATGTTGATATGGAAACATATCTAACTCGGGTCCTCACAAGGAATTCAATTGGATGGCAAATTATTTACACAAATTTATTTACATTATAAACATATTTTTAATCACTTTTTTATTTCACATACATCATATAAAAAAGGGGCTTCACTATTTTTTTAAAAAAATTATCCCAAATAGTCTCCTATCGAAACACAGTCACATTGGCCAAAATGGAGTACATTTTTGTTGGAATTGGAAAGTGCTACACTATTTTTTTAAAAGAAAATTATCCCAAATAATCTCCTAGCCGAACAAAGTTGCACCAGCCAAAATGGAGTTTATTTTCGTTGGATGAGAGGGCGTTCCTCTGGATGACAAGGATGGCATGCCTTATGATGGATTATTTTTCGTCCGAGATAGCTAGAGATACCTTTATTTCCAAAAGATAAAGCACATTATATTAATGATATGTGAATATATCATTAACATATAAAGCAATGTGTTGGTGGAACCGGCAAGACAATATGGCAAAGTGATTTTAAACTCATGCAAAACTGTCGGCAACAAATCTATCATTTTGTGGTTAAGGTTCGAACCTATATGATAGCAATAATTTCATTTTTATTT